AATAAAAACGCCGAAAATTTAAATTACTACCCAATTCTGAGAAGAAAAGTAGAGCTTTATTTGTTTCTGTCAACTCACCGTGAATGAGAAAGTTTTCTTTGTCGTTTCTTGCAAATGCTGTCAACAGCGGCTACGATCAAGGTGAGCGTTGTTTTATATCTCCAATGTTCTTTGCCTTGTTAACTTGCTGGCAGCCTGGCACGTACAATATTCGAAAATATTAGCCTTCCTCTTTTCTCCATAAATTAACTTCTATTTATAGGCAAAATTGGTCTTGCGAGAAAATCCCGAAATCACAAAACAGTGACAAAGCGACCTCGTTTTCCTCTGTAGTGGTAAACATAGCTTCGAGCGTACAAAAAGTCAGCTACAGTAAACCACTTCACGCTGTTTAAACACCATGAAGCCTTTTCTTGCCCTCAAAGTCATCAGCAATTGGATATTCGTGTATTTTCAAAAACACTTTACTATGAAACTTTGGCAAAACACCCAGTTCACGACAGCGATTTTGTTCTGCTTTATATTCACCGAATGGGCTCTGAGTCAATAGCCCATGAGGCCTTCGGCCTCATGAGCTATTGACTCAGAGGCCATAAGGGCGAGAGGAATAATAATTGTTTTAGTAAAATTCAACTAGTTGGTCAAAAATATCGAGAATAAAGAAAATTTAGCTACTTAATAGTCCGAGATAGCTAACCAATCAGATTGCTTGAATTACCAAGATCACTGAGTGTGTATATACTAAACTTGTATATATTGTGATGGTCTGCGCCCTTACGTCATCTAGTGTGTGACGTCACGGAATATTTTGTGTTTCCAGGCAACACCGAAGAGTGTGTTGCTTTGGTCGTATATCTATCAATTTGGTTTTTTAGCAGCTGTTTTAGGAGTCAGTAAGTGCTTTTTGCAATGAATTTCGAACACAAAAGTACTTTTAAGAGCAAATGGAAGCGATTCTGGATAATTTGCCTTAAGATATGAGTGAAAATCAACGTAAAAATATCTTTGAGTTCATGTTTAATAGGGCTCTATCAACTTTATACAGGTGGCGCTGGCGGAAGTTCTAGGGGAAAGGTTTAATGAAATATTTTCCAATTCTTGTCACCTCAGTGTGTTCCATGTGGCCTAGTGGTAATGATACGGCCTGGCGCGCAGAAGATCCTGAGTTCGAATCGGGCAGAACCTGTTTTTCTCTTCTCTTCTTTTTTTTCTTTTTCTTTTCGAGTGTAAAGTATTAATGAGTCAAATGAGTCATGAGTCATGAGTCAATGAGTCAATGAGTCAGATCTGAAAAAATAAAAGTTTCGGTAGAAACAGTAAAATTAAGCATTACTTTTACTGATTTTGTCTACTACCTTCATTGCTGCCTGCACAAGGCCTATTTCTGACATGAAATCTCGCCCTAGGCTGTTTGTTAGCAGTTCCCAGGCCCTGCCGCATAGCAGAAGCGAAAAATAAGCCAGCCTAAATTTTGTGAGTGCATCGGAAGAAAGTGTATAATTCCCTTTAAACACAGCGCTTAAAGTAAATTGAGATAAACCTATTATGGAATTTCCTAGCGCTCAAAGACTCAAATCTTGGAACAGTCGTTCTTTGATATTCGATGTGTTGATGTTTGGGCCCGGTTTGAAGTAGAAAATCGGTCATGAGTGCGAAGGAGAGTTCCACTTTTATATCTGTATCAGTATGTTACTCATTAGCTTGTCATGCTGGTGTAAAGGTAAGTATCCAGGGCACTAAGCGTCCGTTCCAACAATCAATAGCAGAGTTGTTTTCAGTTGATAATCTTCCCAATAGTTTAGTTCACCACTTTTTCCAATCAGTTTTACTTGCCTCATGAATGATGCTACAAGGCGAACAAACTGAATTACAATTTTTGTAATTTGCCCGAGGAGGGGTATGAAACTGCAAGTCGAACAGTTGTACACAGTCAGTGTTTATATTAGAAACATACAGTGTACGAATAATTATTGTTGAGGTATTACTGTCTACCCATTGTAATTTTACGTAGTAGTAGCGGCAGGGCCTGGAATACTGCTAACAAACAGCCCAAGTTGAGATTTCATGTCAGAAATAGGCCAGAAATAGACAAATTAAGTAAAAGTTATGCTTAATTTTATTGTTTCTACCGAAACTTTTATTTTTTCTGATCTGACTCATTGACTCATTGACTCATGACTCATGACTCATTGACTCATTTGACTTAGTTTAGTTATCGCAGTTTTCTTTTGTTTCTTTATATACTGTATTTATTTGGCTATAAGCCAAGCGATTTTTACACAAACTAAAGCTAAAGTTCAGTGATATTTGAGCCCAAGAGGGGGTCTCGGCTTATAGCCAAGAGTTTTTTACTAAAATGTTTTTCAGTGCATTGAAACTCTACTAAACGGGGATGTATTCACTTACAAGCCGAGCATATAGCAGCGGCAAAAGATCGAATCAATCGCGGTGTATGACATTTGCAGACTGCAGACTGCAGACCGCAGACCGCAGACTGCAGACTGCAGATTGCAGATTGTAAATTAAAAGACACCAAAAATCTTCCTAATAAAGGTGAAACCATCAAAAATATAACATCGTGTGAAAGTGAGAAAGTAGCCTGGGAACAAGGTTGATGTTTTTGCGCAAAGTTACATTGGCCTCATTTCCAAGATGCTGTTGGCTATTCTTCACCGACGCGACTCTTTATATTGACTCACCCGGCATATTACTAATTGCGTTGATTCTTTATTCTTCTTTGATTATTGTGAATTGATAATGACAAGTAGCAATGCCCATTAATGACTGTCTAAATAGTAGTCTTCCGTAAAAAAAAGTGTTTAGATTGCGAGCACTTCGTGCTCACTACGGTTACAAAAACAACTAGGATAGATCACGGACATTTAACACCTTTTAAATGACGTATTTCATCTTAGCAGTATTTAAGGATATGCCAAATAATCTAAACCAAACAGATGCTACCTGGACTCGACGAATTACCGGAAGTGCATTTTGAATTTCTAAATAGGCAAATCGACGATGGCTTTTTTAACAGGCCAATCATTGCTCTGCAGTCTGCAAAACCAGGTCTCACAACCGAAATCTCACATTGGTAAGCCTTTTACAATGAGGGAATGAAGGTCTAAAACAAATGAAAGATGTCAAGGAAAATCGAATGTGTAAACGAAAATTATCCGTCTGCATGTTGCTTGGAACATGTGCTTCGAAACATATGCCTGGTTACTAAGCACAGACGAGAGCAACGCTGATGTAGTTCGTTTTGATTGAAAGGTATGTGATCATTTCAAGCATTATGCGACGAAGTGATAGCAGCGAAAACCCAAACAACAAATATAAATATTGTATGTTTCCCTAGAGTCAAAAGAGAAGGTCATTTTTTTTTCAAAATTGTTAAGTTTCAAGTGCAGTAGCTAAAAGTGTGGTCTCGGCTTATAGCTGGGTGTTTTGCATTTATCTTTCGTTCTTGGTGATGCTGATTCTACAAGTTTAAAGTTCAGCGAGGGTCTCGACTTATCGCCAAGATCGGCTTATGGCCGATTAAATACGGTAGCTTAATTTTTTTAAAATTTATAAATTTTCTTCCCTATTGCCTTATTTCCCTTTCAACTTCTTGTCGTTCCCCTGAAGTCCTTCGCGAGGTCCTTTGATTCACGTAATTTTATATTTCTAGAAGAGTGGTTTCCAGAATCTTGCATTTGGCAAGTATATTTTGTACAATGAGCTCCTACCCTGGAATACCCTTCTAGCAGAGCTGCCCCTCTTACCCACTTGCTAGGCAGTGATATAAATAAGCTAGTACTAGTTACAGTTGAACCTCTCGGTACGGACACCTCTCTAATATGGACACCTCTCTATTACAGACAGTTTCCTATGTACCGACAAAATTCTCATACGTTTCCTCTAAAAAAAACTTCTATACTACGGACCCTCTCTAATACGGACAACGGACACAAAGTCTCGGCCCTTGGGAGAAAATTCAAATTCTTTATTATGGACAATCCGGGACAAGGTGTCGAAAATTTGTGGTATATGTACCATTTCCTCTTGGCAGTTACACAAACATTGACACTTTATCAGTCAGCAATACCAATACGAGAACAATGTTTTAGGCGAAGTATTTTGTTTTGTTCCAAAATTCGTATGTACTGAGCATGTAGCTTCTGAGAAGTACAATAACATTAATCAAGTAACAAGACACTGAGTTTTGGGCTTGATTTTACTTACTGAACACTCTAACCTGTCAGTACTTGTGGGGTCTTAAAAGTGACGTAATCATAGTGACCTCTCTAATATTAGCCTGCGCGCAGACGAAATTAAACTCTGGTTAACTCCGTCTGCGAAACAGCGCCGAAATCCTTGTTCTGGACTTCCAGCTGTGTACCCAGATTTGAGTACGCGCCACGATTGGCCAGTTAAAAAAGGCCTTTGTTTTGTTTGTCATGATCACCAATCAGGTTGAAGGGGAATTCGAAACGCACTTCCGGTAATTCGTTGAGTCCGTTGGGGGTCCAGAACAAGGATCTCTGCGCTGCTTCGCAGACGGTACTAATCAGAGTTTAGTTATCGTCTGCACGCAGGCAACTCTAATATGGACACCTCTCTCATACGGACACTTCGATCTGTCCCTTCGGTGTCCACATTAGAGAGGTTCAACTGTATCCCTTAGTGACTGAATGTAAGCAAAACTATTATAATTCAAGTAGTTTAGGGTGCAAAACGTTACAAAAACAAACAAACAAACAAACATTACAAAGAAAAAGACAATGACATTTGAATCTCTGCAGTGCATTTCAGTAAATTTTTCTTTAACACTAGGGATTGCTTGATCGACTTTGTCAGAATAGATTGGGTTCAGCATAAAAACTGACAAATTATTTCCTCATGCTCATATTTTTGATTCAAGCAAAATGCTGGTGGTATTGTTAAAGTTGCATGGTCACTAATGGAATTAGGTTAATTAGCTGAACAAAACAAACTCTTTGTTAATTTGCAGTATTGGTGGTGAGTTTCCTCCTAAACCTCAACATAACATACCCTGTGTGTGCGCTCCTGGTAATGGCCTTGAAGGAAACAGCCCCACCAATCACACATGCACTCCATGTGCAATTGGAGAGTATGGATCAGGGGGGGAAATCATCAATAATTGGAGGGATTGGACTGGAAATGGCACAGTACCTCCTGAAGGATCAGGTCTTCTTACATATTGTGACACTTCAAGTAATTATTATTTCAAAAGTTGTGGGGCATGGAAAGCAAGTGGTAAGCAAGGATAATATTATTTTTAAAAATTGATGCAATATGTTAAGAATGAGGGCGAGTGCTTCTTCATAGGGTTCCACAAACACCGAGAAACAGATGAAACCCCAAGGTCATAGGTTAATATGCTTTCATCTCTCTCGAGCTGTTTGGAACCCATTATAAAGTGCAAAGCCCGAATTTTTGACATGTCTTATTAAATGAAACAATAAGAAATTATTCAGTGACATGTTTTTTTCTGGTATGTAGTTGCATTGTTTCCATATAAACATCTCATTAAAATGCAAGTGTTTGATCTCCGGTAATAAACGTGTTTCATCTGTTAGGCTGAGCGATGCCGCACCATAGCTTTCACACAAGATAACGTACCACTCAAGTAGAAGTAACAACACTGATTTTATTTGTCTTGGTAAATCATATTTATAAACATTATTATTAAGGCGTTTCTTAAGTGGAGATCTACGTAGCAAACCAAAAGAACATTTTTGGCACATAATACTCAAGCGATAATGAAAGTGGCGGATTACACCACAGTTTATACTAAGACTATTAAACATAATGGTGATGCGATGATTGTGATATCAGAGCACGTATTCTAACACATCTCAGATGAAAACCTGGTGGTGACGTTTTACATGATGTTTCATTAGGTATCAAGGTTCATCCATTGTACCCAAATGGACGTCATCTATTGGCTTTTGACTGCAAGAATTATTCATGAGTTTGATAGCCAGCAGTGCAGGCGTTTTCTTTGAGCGCCCGAGAATTTGCTCGCGAAACTTCCCGAAGAGAGGAGGAGATGGGGCGAGTAAAAGGGAGCAGGGAGGGGGCGGGAAGAGAGAAGAGATTTTTTTTCTCCCCTCCCCCTCCCCCCTTTCCTTCTTTCGCCTTCGCACCTACCGTAAGGGTTACTATTTCTACTCTCCCCAATCTTCCACTATCATGAAATCAAAGATGGCGGCTACCACAATATTTTGAACACGAACAAGGTTTCGCCCAACCAAAATATGCCTGCACAGCTGCAGGCTATGAGTTTGAGAGCTTGCTAGTTTCCTGTCTCTATGGCCCTCCCAATCTCAATAAAAAATAATAACAATTATTGAACGAGGTTGAACAAAAATATTGTGATTTGTCAGTAGTGAGCAGATCAATATTTGCCAAAGCTGAATGCTAAGTCAAATAATATTGATCTGCAAGTTCGCAAAGTTTGTTTTTTAAAGAATATCTTTGGGAAGCGAAGCAATCTGCCATTTTCATGCAAGAGCGATCGCAAGAAGGAGAAAAGCTTGGTTTCATTTGTGCATGGGCAGAATATTATTTGCAGCCAAAAAAAGATGGACAACATTGTGCACTTTAAGCAGACCATTATTTGTAGGCAGTTATTTGCAGGTCACGTGGTGAGGTCTCGGCCAATGAAAAGGAAGAAAAATTTGCAATGAATGATAATTATTTTTATTTTCAATTCAGACCTTTCATCGACCCTTTAACTCTTTAAGGTCTGATATCAATGTGTATATTCTCCTCACTGCTCTGCAAATGTTTCTTATTAAGTACTGAGCACTTGTCTACTGAGAGAATTTGTTAAAACATCAAGACATTTCATCATCAGTGATTGTATCAGTTGTGACATTCATTCTCATATTGACCTTTATGTTGGATCTGGTTGTAATATTGTTAAAGGAGAAAAAAAGTTTGATGGTTGGGTCTAGAGTGTGGCTAGAGCAAGTTTTTCTTAGCCTAGTGATGGAAAAGCTGAAAAAAAATGTGTGTAGCAGTTAAACAAAATACAGTTGAATCGCGCTTTACGGACACTTCATTAATACCTATGTGTTGTAATAAACCTTTTCTTCTTGAAGGTAAATAATCTCTCTGTTGACAGCATGTTGATGTTCCCAGCACTGCAGTACACCAGATAGGATGAATTGTAGACGTCAGTTTTAAGACTTTGGCATCCAATGAGTCAGTTATGCTTCTTGTTGATTTAGTCCACAGAATTTTGGCTTTTTGAAGGATAGAGATGTTTACTTTGATGTTGCCAAGTTATGTCCTCTTTTATGTCTTAGGCATTTTGTGCTAATAAAAGTTGTTGTCTTATAACTTAACCCTTTAAGTCCCAGTGGTGACCAACATCAATTTTCTCCTAACCATATCCATAGATTGTCAAGAGATTAGGTCATGAGAATTAATAAAATGATCACCTAAGAGAAAATGCTTTGATCTTTTATCAAATTCTCTCAACTGATTCTTTAAGGAAATGTATAGAGATCAGTTTGGAGAATTCGTTTGTGGATTATTAATTGGGGCTTAACATAAGCTGCTTAATACAGACACTTTCTATGGACCCTTCAGTGTCCATACTAATGGGTTTTGACTGTAAAAATCTCTCAGGGAAGTATTTTATAAACTGCACCAATAATTATTATTACTATATGCCTTTATTATTTTATCTTTTATTATGTCTTTGTTTGTTTGTAAGCAATTCCATTTTTTATTGATTTACATAGCTGATAACTACACACTTGAATCTGGTTACAATCGTGGGTCGAGATGCCTGGTTTCTGTATTACTGATGACCAGGAAGTTTGTCTTGACTAACAACAATGTTAGTTTTGACTATCGTGTAGACAGCCGACACTGCAGCCCTGAATTCTTTGGATGCGATGGTCTAGGTTTCTTTATTGATGGTCAGCAAGTACTACAATACCAAGGAAACCAGTTTCACTGGGTTACAAAGACTTATAATTTAAAGAAGGTAAGTTTGAATCAAACTTTGCCTGCTGATAGCGTTATGCTTCATAAAACAGCCCAACAAATTTTGGCCAGCTTGATCATTGTTTGTTTTTGACATGGTCAAAATGTATAGAAAATATGTATTTTAAGGTTAAATAGTCAAGCAATTAAAGTAAAAAATATCCCCTTGTAAGCTCACAAATTTGAAAATAGGAAATCTACATTGTATGGGGCAACATATAACTCACAGGAGCATTAATGAAAAAAAGGAATAAATTGTATTGAATATTTTTAGACGAACAAGAAAACATGCAATCTTGTTAATGCCACCCCTCAATACTACATGATGTCCAAAAAACAAAACATACCACCCTCAGTACCACAGGATACCCAAGAACCACTGAATGCCACCCTCTCATTTCCACAGAATGCTCAGGATTAGCATTGTCCTTAGCATTAGCATGACTTAGTTTTGGTTTATGTGTCTATGAAAATGTGCTTGTGAAGGAGATCAATTAAAATATACTGTCTTGTGAAGCAAAATAGACCTGTCTGAACAGCAAAACCTCATTTTGACAAACATCATCTGTAAGTTTGATATTTGTTTAGGTTAAAGCCAAGCTCTTCAAATGCTAAAATTCATACTTGTATTCTAGGGTTCCCATACACTGAAGTGGGTTTTTCGTAAGGAGAGGTGTTTTAGTTATGGATATTCCTTCTTAGACAAGGCTTTTCTCCGTTCCATAACCTTGGTAAGTCACTCATTTTGTAATGGTAATTAATAGAACTAAGTGGAGTTAAATTTTGGTCTGTTATAATCATCATCACTAGGGGCAGACACAGATCCAAACCAACTTTCATCACTTTTTAGAAAACTGTCAGATATATTTGACAAGAGGAAATGAAACTCTTGATAAGAAAATTTTTAGGAGATTTATTCCAGACCTGGTTGTGCTTGCAGTTAGTAACGTTTAAATTAAAAAAAAAAAAACAGTCCAATCGGTCATGGTTGAAATTTAGAATCCATGGCAATATTGGAGACAGAAATAATGGCAACTTTTTGGCTATTATAAGAGACTTTGGTGTTGGATTAATATTGGCAATGTGACTTCTGATAATTAACTACGAACAGTCAACTCCCTTTATTGCGGACACTGTATGGACCTTGAGTTAGAGTCCTGTCCGTATTATCGGTAGGCGAGAGTTGACTGTAATAAGTATTGATTTGCCAAATTCCACGCACCTCTGTTAATTTTCACCCAAGTGTGTCAACTATATCAAAGGTTCAAAAATAAAAGTAAGGATATTACATTACGTTTCTCCTTCATTAAAAAGTATTTGTTTAGTTTATGTAATTAAAAAGACTGTGTATTCTTTAGGTTGGCACAGATGAACCAAACGTGAAATGCAAACCTTGTCCACCAGGTTACTTTAGTAATCAAGAAGGTGCTTCAGAATGCACTGCGTGTTCATATTTTCAGTTTCAGGCAAAAGAAGGTTTGTGCATTATTTATCACATAATAGACCTTTGTCACAATGATGTACAGAAATCCCCCCTCTCAGCTATTCTTTCAATTCACAATCATCATGAGAGGTAGATGAGACTGATTAAGACTGATCTATAATTCCTTCGAGCTCCAGAGGTCAATATTATTATTTTTACTGCTAATTCATGACAGTTGATATACATTTGTCACTATGAGTAATGCATCAAAGCAAATGAAATTTGTCTTATCTGGTATATCTGCTGCATTGTGAGTTCCTAGACTGAACATAATTTCTCCCAATTTGTGGCAACCTATCCAAATTGAAAAAGAGCTGATTATTATCTTAAAATACCCTTTCTTTTGTTGCAATATTAAGAAAACTTGCATAGCTGTTGGCCATGTGAGTGAAACGCTCCATAGTTCCTTCAGTATATATAGTAGGTAATTGTCAATATCAACCACTTTTACAACTGTCGCTGGTTTTTGTGGCAAGTATGCTCAATTATTTTGCCTTGTTATTAGATCTATTTTTGTTTGTTTGAGTTTTTTTGAAGAAATAACTTGTATCTGATAAGAGCTCATTTTTTGAATATGTGCATGTTTTCAGGTCAGACGAAATGCGACCCTTGTCCAACAAACACCTTTGCCATGATGGGTGCCTCAAAGTGTATCCCGTTACCTAATTGCACAAAGAATGACATCATTAGCGCCCCTGGAAACTTGACTACATGTTCCTGTAATAAAAATACTGGTGTGTGTACAACCACAGTACAAGAAAAGTTTGTCACCGTTAACTTAAAAGGTGAGTCAACTTACTGTAAATCCTCTATTTAAGCCCCCCCCGGGGGGGGGGGGCTTATTTATTTCAAGTTCATATTGGGGGGGGGGGGGCTTTATAGAGACAGGGGCTTATTTAATTTAGAATTGATGATGGTACCAGTTGTCCATAAAGAACTAGAATACAAAGTGGATAAGCTTAAGAAGAAGAAGTTTTAGGTTATGCAGCCGAGGATGAGAATTTACAGTCGTGATTGATTTATACAGTCTTAGTAAAAAATAATTAGGGGAGGGGATGGGAGCTTAATAGAGAGGGGGGGCTCATTAACTTTCGCCCCCTAAAAAGTGGGGGGGGGGCTTACTAGAGGGAGGGGAGTTATTTGAGAGGGGGGGCGTAATAGAGGATTTAGGGTAATACACAAATTTTTTTTTTTTTAATTGTTGATACAGATGGCAGCCTGAGAAAGCCACCTCTGGTTTTGTGGCAAAGTGATGTCTGAGAAACAAGTGCACAAATTCTACACTGATGATGCGTCACTACCCAGATCTGGGTAATGCTTTTGTTTGGTTGAAGCAAATTTCCCTTGCGGAACGACCCATTAGAAGCACTACGGAGATCTGGATAGTGATGTGTCATCAGTACATAATTTCTTGCGCATGTTTCTTATACATCAATTATTCATGGTCAAACCAGTGATGGCATCGCAGAATGTTGGCTGTTTTCTCAGGCTGGATGTGGCATGGGCAATAATTGATTAGAGCACTAGACTTGCAATCTGGAGACCACACTTTCAAGTCCTGCCCAGATTGCTAGCAGACATTGATCTCAATAGTTGCAAGTTCAAATCCTTTCTGCCCTACTTATAATTAGTTAACTGGTTTTCTAAAACAATATGATGTAAGTAACAATTCTTAGAGAAATTAAAAAATTCTTCATGCTCAGTCTCTTGCGAATAAATTATTTCCTCTATCATAGTTTAGAATAGTTATGAAGCCCGACAGACTTCTTTGTTTTATGTTTTCGTTAGCTTTTTTAGATTTGACCATGCACAACGTTCAGTAACATTCCTATCATTTTGAACTTACTGACCAACAGAAACATCGCATTAATTTATTCAGTCACAGTTTGTGAACACGAAACAAAGGATTGTACATTGTCAGGGAGCTTCCAACATAAACTGCAGCACTGTTGTTTTCATCTTTGATGGTTGCTGGCTTTTATAACCAGTCTGCTCTACTAACTATGTCTTCGTGTGTTATTTTGAAATGATTGTTAGAACTGTTTCTGGGTGTTAAGGGGGGGGCAGAATGGGACACTAGAATACCGAGGGGGGGGCCCTTGAAGCAAAAATTGGGAACCCAACCAATAATCATGCTGTATTGTGCTTACTGGATTTTTTAACCTGGTCATGGAGAAGCTTGGGTTTCTCGACCGTGGAGGAAAAAATTAATCCTGATTTAACGGAAACCGCAACATACTGCATGCCATTTCCAGAGTACAGGGAAGGGATAAATTACCCTTTGACCAATCCCTAATTAATATTATAAGCAGTCTGCCATTTTTTTCTGTATAAATGACTGCCACGAAGAGTGATGGTGCCATTACCACATTTGTCACCTCCTATGTGAATTGGGCAGGATCCTTTATCTGTTATCCTGCAAGCAAGCTCTCTGGGGGGGCGTTGGTGGTGGGGCAAGAAAGGAGAGCACCCCACCACCAGAACACCTCAGAGAGCTAGCTTGCTCGCACTGACGCTATTTATCCGTACAGTATGTGGTCCTTGGTCCGCGCAAGTCTGCGATGCCCTTGGTCCGCACCGAAAATGATAAAATATTTCGTCGAGAAAAAAAATACGTTGAATAATGAAAGATATCGTGATTTACTGATTAGCATTCTTTCATGTGAGGAAGTTTCGGCTTTCTTGCTGCCGGTGAAGGCGCGAAATTAAAGGTTGTTGACAGGTAGGTTAATTTGTCTTTCTTGAAGTTTGGATTTTTGCGGCACCGTAAATTACATGAACATGTTTACTTAGCCTGCGAATAAATAAAACGCAACGGGAAGACGTGCCTTTTTGCAGAACAGGTTTTCAGATCAACTTTTTTCTGCTGTTGGAAGCATATTGCTGTAGACTCTGAATTTTTTGTTTTATCGACTCTTGAAGAATATCACCAAATTTCGCTTGGCGGTCCTTGGTCCGCGACCTATGACCTGGTTGAATAAAACTTCGCAAAATAAAAAGCGAAGTCCTTTGTTTTCGAAGAATGTTTTGAAAATCGTCCCTATACATGTCTACAAGTTCTCTTTTTTAATACCTCGAATACATGCAGAGTTTTTGGTAATTATTTTCGACCGCGCTGAAAGCCGCTCGCGACGCTCGTGTGGGAGACTCGAGGAGACTGTTGTCTGAAGTCTTTGAAAGAAGAGCAGATTATTTTATACTCACAACATCTTCCGAAAAAAAACTTTAACTTAATTGCATCAAGAAAAGAAAAAAAATACATAAAATTTGTGAAAATGACATTTTCCTGTGGAAACTATAACATTTTTACGTTTTTTTCGTGCTGCTTACATGAGACGCGGACCAAGGACCACCAAGGACCATCGAAAACGGTCGCCTTTTTTCGAACTCCAAGCAAAATATTTATGTCTGGAACTCAAAACTTCAGGATTATCGAGAAGAACGTAAAAGCTATCTTCAGGGAGTATTTCAGCTCGTTACGTGAAGATTCGGGTAAGATATTCAAGTTAATAACTTTTAGACGCAGACCAAGGACCACATGCTGTATATGGACGCAGTGTAAATTAGAGTCTTTATTAACAAAATCTCTTGCATTATTAAATAGATGGAAAAGCACCAAAGATTCTTTGCAACCGACAAAATACTACGATAACTCCTTCATCGAAGACAGTGCAGTGTCGTTGTCAACCTGGATTTGAGATTTTTCGAGGCAAGGATGGACAAATTCAGTGCAAACCGTGTTCAAAGGGGAGGTTTTCTACTGGTGTGAAATGTGCTACATGCAAAGTTGGTCATGTAGCCTTTCTAGGCAAGCACTATTTTTTGTGGAGGAATGACACATTACCAGAAGGCTTCTCTGCTTCTTGTTCCGGTGACTGTACTATTGAGGTTTGTCAAATATTGAGAAGTTCTTTAAAAACCATGTCGATTGTTTTCAAGATGGCGAGAAACACAGCTAGGTGCTCTCCTAACCCTTTAAGTCTCAATTGTGACGAACATCAATTTTCTCCTAACAATATCCATTTTTTGCCAAGAGAAATAGTTATGAGAGTTAATAAAATGATCATTAAAGAGCAAATGCTTTGATCTGTTATCAAACTCTCTCTTTTAATTCTTGAAGGAAATGTATGGAGATCAGTATGGAGAATTTATATTTGGATATTGGGGCTTAAAAGGGTTAATGGACTATAAGTAGTTCCTTAGGGATAGTAGAGCGAGCAGATGCACGAACGCGCGTGAAAATCGCAACCCTCGAAGAAGGTCCTCCCTCCACGTGTCATCCTCGCGGCTGGTCATTTCTCACGCATTCTCCTATTTTGCTCGAACTACTATTCCTCAGAAGAATGAGGAATAACTTGACTGTTATAGGTAACTGTTATGTCTCCTGAGCGTTCTTACTAGGGACCTTACAAAGCTACGACGGCGACGGCATCGGAACCTCAGAAAAGCAAAGCAACAACTTTGCGCGGGCATCACCCTTTTTTTGTCAATTTCTTTGCCTGCACAACTAAAAATGGTCAAATTTTAAGTTTACTTGAGAAGGGGAACGGCAAGGCGATAAATTCTACCATCTCTGTCTGAACTCGTGCGCGGTCCCATGCCTTCACTTCCAACCTAAATTCCCTTCTTTTAAGTAATAGGGCGACTTGGGATAATCGCGAAATAGTTTCAACGGATGTAAAGTCTATTTTTACGCGGCGTTTTCGTGGACGTCGCCGTTGTCGGGTCGTAAGGTCCCTACTGAAAGTTCTTAATAACAAGTTTTGAAAAACTGTTAAGTAGACTTGTTTTTAAAAGACCCAAGTGCACTTGATCTGGTGACAGGCTCATAATGGCTAAATTTGGCTGAATTCCGGGACTCAGCCTCTTTAGGTAATAGGAGACAGAACAGTCTGTCCGGTTTACACTCAAGTCGCCCAAAATTTTATCATGCCCAGCGACATCCTAACATCTTAATCGCCCTTGTTTCGTTTCATCAAATCTTCAAGAACAAGATGTATTACTCGTTTGCTTGTTTCATTTCATCAAGGCTAAAAGAATGAGATATGATACACATTCATCCCCCTTATTTCGTCTAACCATAGCATCATTGCTTGAAGAACGAGATTTGATTACAGAATTGGCCTGCTTGTTTTGTCTCATAAGATATATTACGTACACTCCTCGCAAAAATTTCGGGCGACTTTACTAAAAATTTCTAGCAATTTAACTTCGGGCGATTTGACCGGTTACCATCTGGGTTCCCCATGTAAGGTTATCCATGGCAGTCTTGGATGGTGGATTCCAGATTCCTTGTCAGTGGAAAATTGAATTCTGGATTCCATGTCAATGGAACCTGGATTCCAAATTCCAATCATTAGCCGGATTCTGGATTCCTTGAGCTGGATTCCGGATTCCAAAGCCCAGGATTCCGGATTTCACAATCAAATACTTTCCAGATAAATTCCGGAATCTGGATTACCTTACGTAGCTGTTCCTGAAAAACGGACTTAATAATCTGAAATACCTTTTTTCTAGACTGGTTGGATTCCAGCTGGGGATCACATTCGCACAGAACGTGTTGTGGGTAATGTGCACTCTGAATTGAGGTCTCCTGAAGTAGAGGTGGATTCAGATTTAGCAAAGGTCGTCTTCAGCTGCTCAGTCCTGTGCAATTTGACCGGAGTGCCATCTAAACCCGTGAAAGGCGAGACTTTGGCTAAAATAGAGAACTGCAATCTCATATTTCAAGTGTGGAAGAATGGTTCTCTGAAGGATCAAGTAAACTGTACTCGTCCTAAAGGGAAGTATATTTATCAACATGAGAAGCGACGAGATGGTAATTATGTCATGCATGTTTATCCGCTGGAGAAGGGAAGATATCAGTTCAGGTAACAGTTGAGACCTTTTCAGAGGAGTTCACGCTCATAGTTGCATCATGGGTAATCAGGGCAAGATGGCGGGAATTTCAAAGATTTGTATTGGAATTCAAAGCCAGCTAATCCTTCCTGAATTCATATATTTGATGCTTTCTCTTTGAAAAGAGTAGCTTACGAGTTCAAAGAAACAATACACTAAATCTGGAGTGCAAAGAATACTATCGACTTTTCAAAGAGAAAGCAACAATTGTATGAATTCAGGAAGAATTAGCTGGCTATGAATTCCAATACAAATCTTTGCATTTCCGCCATCTTGCCCTGATTACCCATGATGCAGCTATGAGCGTGAACTCCTCTATTCTAAGACGAGGACATTTCGAGAACGAGATTTTCTCAATACTAAGTAGTGCGCAGGCGTGAACCAGCGTCATTTTGGAGGAAAATCGTGATAGCCATCGTCACTCTACTACGAGTTTTGCCGTAGTGGCAGAAACATGTTATCAAATGTTGGAAGTTGGATCAATATTTGCGGTCGGGAGAGTGCTAATAACTTTTGTGGTGAAAAAGTACAATTTTTGGATTTTAATACTACTGAAACCGAAATGTTTAAGTTTAAGGGCCTTTCTTTTGGTTACAGATGGACGTTCTACCAGCTAGACGATACTTTCTCTTCAGCATTTGAAGCGAAGGTATCCAACATAAGCATCCTTGGTGCAAAGTCTGGCGCGGCTCGCAACTGTACAGCATGCCCACCTGGATATCATAGCACACCAGACAACACTGACTGTAAAATTTGTCCAAATGGAACTAGCAGTTTAGCAGGTTCTTATAAATGCGCTCCTTGTCAAGGGCAGACTTTTTGCCGCACAGGTATACAGCTTCACGTTTGCTACAAGAGTCAGTGAGGGTTCAGTCACACACACTTTGTCGTTTTGTGGTTATAGCTTCTAAACAATGAACACTTTGTTATGAGTTGTGAGTAAGCCGGTCAGTCATTCAGTTAATCAGTTAATCAGTCAATCACTTTATCAACCAACAGTCAGTGAGTCATACATGATTTTCATATATTCATAACTTCGTCAGTGAGTCAGTTGGTCAGTCTGTCAGGAAGGAGACAGTCAGTTAGTCATTTAATTAGCCAACCAAGCAGTCAGTCAGTTAGACAGTCAGTCAGCCAGCCAGTCAGTCTTTCAGGTTATTGGTCCCTCAGTCAGGCAGTCTGGTATGATGGTCAAGTAGTCAGTTAGTCA